CATCACCACTACCATCATCATCACCACTATCATCATCATCACCACTACCATCATCATCACCTCTACCATCATCATCACCTCTACCATCATCATCACCACTACCATCACCATCACCACTACCATCACCACTACCATCATCACTATCACCATCACCACTACCATCACCACCATCATCACCACTACCATCACCACTACCATCACCACTACCATCACCACTACCATCACTCCACCATCATTACCATCACTCCACCATCATTACCATCACTCCACCATCATCACATCACCATTATCATCACTCCACCATCATTACCATCATCATCACCATCACTCCACCATCATCACATCACCATCATCATCACTCCACCATCATCACATCACCATCATCATCACTCCACCATCATCACATCACCATCATCATCACTCCACCATCATCATCACTCCACCATCATCACCATCACTCCACCATCATCACATCACCATCATCATCACTCCACCATCATCACATCATCACCATCACTCCACCATCATCACATCACCATCATCATCACCACCTTCATTACCATCACTCCACCACCACCACCACCATCATCATCACCACTACAAACCTACCTTTTGGTAAGCTATCAACCACAAATGTATGAGTCATGTTGCTAAATTGATCCTGAATGTGGCAAATATATTCCCCATAACTTGTCTGATTACTCAATTTCACTGAAAGAATAGAACTTCGATGAGGCTTTTCTGTTTCAAGGTAACTTTCCATTTTCCTCTTATCTTTTTCCCACCTGAGCATTATTGGAGGTTCACCTCTTACTGCACAGACTAGGTTGACGGTATCACCAATCATTGCATGTATCTTTGTACTGGAAATGCGTCTCAGCAACTGTAGAGGATTTTCTTGAATTAAAACAGGGAAGATTGCGATTAACATTTGTATAGCCCAGATTTCCATTTGGATGTGATGAAATGCGCTTTAAATCAAGTATTACCCTTGCATATTTGCTTGTACAGTGTGCTATAGACTTATTAGTCTTATTTAGGCGTTCACGGAACGACAAGCGTTTCTAGACCTGAATTCACTTACTTATTTCAGTTGTTTGAAATTTCTTGGTGGATTTCTTGACGTTAGTACCAGTGATTTCAATTATATATTTTCTGTTCGGTTTCAGATCATTCACCATCAACCGTGAATTAGTTACCATTTCTTGGCGTTTTACTTCGCTCCCATCGCTCAGTTTGAAATATGAATCTCTAGGTAGTCCACATTGGGAAGGATTGACTGACAATGAAATGTTCGCTGACGTCTCATTCACATACGTGACTGTTATATTAAAATCTAAAAGATGGCTATCGTTTAGAAAGGTGAGTGAAGATCGATTTCTTGTACATGGACGCCGCGAAGTCGTTAGCGACCTTAGCATGTAGGACGGGGCAATCGAACTCGTTGAACCAAATAATTTCAGAAGAAAACTTGTCGTCTATTATCCATCGTATGCGAAATAATACAGTTTAAAATTTGAGGTTAACGCAGGGCTAATGATTGAAAAAAATCGTAGGACCCAATTATAACCTTTCTCACGCCGCATTTTTGGGAGGAATTTCAGCCGAAGTCTGCGAGATAAGTCCACATAACAGCGACTTTTGATAATTTTTTGGACAAATGATGGTAAATTTGCTTTGTAAATGGTTAGTTTATTTTGAAAAATTGCTTTTCACATTGTTTTAATTGTCTGCATTGGTTAACGAGAATTGGATGCCACCCAAAAATGGCGGATATTCGTCATCGTGAGAAAGTCTAATTGAAAGTAGCAGTTGTCTCAGTTTGAAATGAAAGCGTTGTAAACAAAACGTGATAATCTGTATTTTGCCGTTGTAAACAGAGCAACGGCGACGTCTAAAACTTCCGTGGGATTCCGTTCATTTCTGCTCATTTTCTTGTATTTTGATATTATTAGCCGTCCTCTTTGCACTTTCGTCCGGCTTGTTGATGCTCTCAATAACAGTAGTTCTTTATAATTTTAAAAGTGTAAAATTTAACATAAATTAAGGCTGTTTCTTGTCACGTTCCCGTACTAGATTAAGCCTTGCTTAAGTTCGCTAATAACATTGGAGGGAGGGGATATCCTGATATTTTGACCAAGTTTTTGGCGAACATTTTGACCAACTTTTCAAAAGTCTGATTCCATCAAATTCGTGATGGAGGAAAACTGAATACTTGTTAAGGTGAAAAGTTCGCGCGAGTCAAAGTACTTTTCTTTGCGCTTTTGAGTACTACTATATATAGTTCGTTGACAATGTAAACCAATTTCAAAAACTAACAAGTGAACAACTGTTTTAACAGAATATTTTCCATTTTGACCAACTTTTGAACTTAAAAATTATTGGGGTTGGGGGGAGGGGGGGTGTTCTTACCTCTGTTTATCTCAGTCTGGCACACGTAAGAGTTCAGCTTCAAGTCACATTTTTTCGCTTCCCAAGTGGCGTCATGTTTAGCAAGTACCATAGTGACACAATGTTTACTTATGTCTGGTATAAAATGCACTCCAATTGCGGTATAATTTGGCTCAAAGCTCTGGGAATATGTATACTTCGTGACGTTGCCAACTTTTTGCAAACCAAACCAGGCGACTATGTTGTCAGCTCCATCATAAAGTCGCTTTTTAAGAAACTCGTAGTCATTTTTTTTAGAAATTTCCGCAAGTTTTGCTGCCCTCGCAGTGCAGTTTAGTTTTGCTTTATTGAAATTTAATGTTGTCTTTGATATCCAGTAACACAAGTTGTTGAATGGTTTCCATCCTTTCCGGCACACTGGATCATACAATAAAGAAATTAAAATATTGTTTTATCAAATGACATTAGGCACGTTTCCAGGGAAGGGCCTTATTGGAGAGAGAGGGCCAAAAAGGAGGGGTTACGGGTAAGAGGGGAGGAGGAGGAGGAGGGGGCTACTGGAGAGGGGGGTTATTGAAGAGGGGCTCAATAAGGAGGAGGGGGCTTTGGCTGGAGAGGGGGTCAAGAAGGAGGGGGCCCACGAGAGAGGGGAAGGAGGAGGAGGGGCTGCTACTGAGAGGGAGTTCTTGAAGAGGGGGTCTTCAATAAGAGGAGGGGGGGCCTATTCTGGAGGTGACACTCAGGTCACTGGAAGATGTAGCTGAGGAGTGAGGGGGCCACTGGAGAGGGTTGATTGGAAGAGGGCCTCATCAAGGAGGAGGGCTTATTGAGAGGACTCAAGAAGGAGGGGGTTACAGGAGAGAGGGGGACAAGGAGGAGGAAGGGGCTACTGGAAAGGGGGGTTATTGGAGAGGGGGCTGAATAAGGAGGAGGGGGCTTATTGGAGAGGGGGTTCAATAAGAGGAGAGGGTTATTGATTTAGTTGAAAGTCTGATAAAGGATCAGGGTAAGGGTTAATATTGAGATTGGGATTACACTCAGGATTGGGGAATATTGGGATTTATTCCCAATATGGGGACTATAGGTATTTAAATTGATATTGGTTAATATGAAAATTGATCCAGATTACCTTTTCGTAAGGGTCGTTGACAGATAAAGCGATGAACAGCGTCACAACCTGTTGCCGTCCAGATTCTGTTTGGACGTATTGCGATGCATGTTCTGCTATCAAAACTCTTTTTATTAACGTTGGGAAATAGAGTTGTAGCTTTCTCTCCATTGGGCAGTAAAAGCGATGAATTCACCTCTGCTTTTAAGCCAATCCAGTTGTCGCCACTTTTCAAATACCTTCCTAGCATATCATTCTCTTTGGGTGATTGAATACTAGCAAGTGTAGCTTGAATATCTGAGCAACGTTGCTTGGCCGAGTCCCACGTGACGCCTTTATCAGACTGATGCTGTTTTGCGAAGCACGAACAGTCTATACGAAGCTGGTCATTGGGACACTGTGATATTACTGGAAAAGTGAAATATTCATACGACATATTATAGGGTGTATGTAAAACTTTATTTCAAGACGCTAGCCCCGTCAACAGTACGTTGATTTCCACGGGGGGCGTCAAACAATTTAAAAATTACAAGGAAAGTACAAAAAGGAAGGATAAATAACTATATACGTGGTATAATTGGTATTGATTAATTGGTGTGACCCTGTATGTTTATTACAGAATATGTTTCAATGAATTGTGTTATTGTAATTCTGTTTCAAATAATTTTTGAATGAATAAGTCGACTCTGCCAGTTTTGTATCAATGGAGAGACTATTTCATAGTTTATAGCGCCACTATACTTCAAGCTCTTTTTGAGGAATTCACTTCTAGGCTTCGCAAGGGCTAAATCAGTAAGGTCATGATTAGACAATAGTATTGATTTAGTTGTACATCGCCTTGTTTCTAATTATCCCAAGCAAGATCTCGGAGAACATCAGCAGATTTGGTCTCGTAGCTACCGCTAGCTATAATTTGGGCTGCACGATTTTGAAATTTTTGAAGTTTATCTTTCAGATGTTTATCACAGGTGTAGAAAACAAATGAAAGCCAGTAACACATAGATGCGCATCATTATTGTGAATACATAGATGCGCATCTTTATTACATAAGTCGTTTGTGGTAGATAATAATAATCCATTGTCTTAATCCCGTTGTAATCTTATCACTTTCATGATGCGAACTATAATTTAGTGACCCCTGTTTGTCCTATTTAGTCAATTGTACAGTAATTAACGACTTACCAGCAGTGTTGAAAAGATTAAAAAGAACAGCCAAAAATATTGCACCACACGGAGAAGAATGCATTTCGTTGCTCTATGTGACACACACAATATCCTCAAACGAAATTGCAAGTCTTTTTCCTTGGAAAGTAGGAAGTCGATATTTCGATAACGAATTTTGAGCAGTAAGTATTTATATACTAATTCGAAGCAAACACGTCTGCTTTTATATTGGTGTCTGTTTCGTTTACGTTGAGAATTTCCTAGTGTAATTATCACTGTTTAGTGACTGCTCTTTCCACATCAATTCTTGTTAAAAGGTTGTTTTCTTGTGAAAACTTGTGATCAGTCAGAGAGGAAGTCACACTCAGCATGCAAATGTTGGACGTCCGTAATTAGAGACTTCTGACGTCTTAACAAGATGAATATAAAAATATTTTCTTGTCATTTTCTGACATTGCGTGCAGTGAACGATGAAAAATTCGTCGTCTTGAACGTGACATCTTTGGGTTTCTGTACGGCGACACTACACAGAATAATATGAAATTGCTTTTCATATCTCTGAGGATGTGAAATAAAAGGTTTCGATTATTGTTTTTGATTGCAAAGCCAATATAAGATTTACGGCGTTGGGCTCAATTTAGACACTCCTCAGCTTGAGCTTTATGCTTTAAAAAATATTTTAGTTTTGGTCGAGACGAGGATCATGGTTGGATGGTTGAACTCCCGAGCAAAAATTCACAGGATTGAAGCGCCAATCAATTGATTCAATTTCAATACAATAAGATTTTAATTGAAACAGATAACTTCCGTACCCACGCTTTCATCCTGTTGATGACGTAATCACGCTTGTATATAAACACACCTAGGTCGGCGGTTTTCACTCGTTTCCATCCACCAAACTGACGTTATGTCATTTGATCAATTTCTAAAGTTGTTTCTTTTTGGATTTTTTAAATTAATTTGCTTCCCTGTTTCTGACAGTTTTTATAAAGTCTAAAGGCTGATTTTCACTACACAACTTTTGCCTAAAACTGTCGCATGTAACCCCTGCTTACAACTTGAGTTGTACTGTGTAAATCACACATTTTAACTCGCCTTACCGTAAGTGTGTTGTGTGCTTGATTTGCACAGGAAACACAGGTTGCACGCGACAGCGGTTTTAAGCAAAAGTTGTGTAGTGCAAATCCGGTTTAAAAAGCACACAATCTTTTCCCGCCACGGCTACGTATCATGTATGTGGGTTTTCATGGTAAAACGTCGCATGGTAAAACACTAAAACATCGCGTAAAAACAAGAGGATTTCCATCATTTTATAATGGCAACAGGAGCGACCATTTTATATTTGTTTCGTCGTTAATTAACATGCCAATTCCGAGCACCACACCTAACAGTGGCCAATATTCATATACATCCTGTTTCTTATAAAATCATGACTTTGTATGTTATCAACAAGACTTGTTTTATTAATACGCAATTCTCTCAGAAATTTCACATTCCATTTCCACTAGGACCGTACATATCGTGGCATCAACAGGGGCAACTGCTCCCCACCCCCGGCGAGAAAATTTAACTATTTTTATATTGATCAGGTTATTATTCAGCCAATTTAGTGGTGCTAAAAAAGGCGCTTATCGTAAATGGCGCTTGTAATCTCAGGGGAAACAAAAAAGTTACATTATTAACACATTTTGAAAAGACTTTTTTCCCTGTGCTAGTGCAATGTACTCAGGTGAATATGATGCCTGGCCACGTTCTTTTTAGCCACAGACCGCCGTGGCTAAAGAGTATAGTGAAATCTGATATATTTTTTAGCCACAGACCACCGTGGCTAAAAGTATAGTGAAATCTGATATATATTTAGCCACAGACCGCTGTGGCTAAAAAGTATACTGAAATCTGGTATACTTTTTAGCCACAGACTGCCGTGGCTAAAAGTATAGTGAAATCTGATATACTTTTTAACCACAGAAAAATCTGACATCAGTGAAATCTGATATTAAGTCGGCCGGCCAAGATGGCAAAAGGTGCCTCTAAAGAGAGTTTGATGGCAACTTTATGTTACAAGCTGGTAACAGGCATTTTCTTATAGTTCAAGCCTTGGTGATTAAGACTGTGTGTGTTACCACTTCTGATTTTTGCTTTATAGCCAAGAATTTGAGAATTTTAAAATTTTGCCTATGTTCTTCCTTTAATCAATTTTAGCCTAATTATAATTGCCCAACATTTGTCTAGCCGTTTTTTCAAGCCACGTTTAGTAATTTATGTCTTCTTCCTTTAGGCTCAGTTTATGTTATGATGCTACAACGAGCGTGTTGAAATCATTTGACGAATACTCAAATTTCAACGTTACGGATTAATAAAACGACTTCTTGATGGTAAGGCTTTTCCGTATTTTTTTCTTATTTTAATACACAGCTAA